GGCTTTTAACTTAAAATTGTTAGTGTTCTGGCTAACTTAATATTTTGATTTATTCGAACTTCAAATAATAAGCTGACGGCATAAAACACAGATTCTTGATCTGTTAACTTACTACTCGAAGTTCAATTAATTCAAAAATTTAAGGCAGGCCAAACACTATACATATAAATATATATATATTTTTACTGAAAACCCTGATATGTATTCATTTTATTTACAATGAAGCTGAGCTTTAATTCCATGGTGTGTGTATATATATATATATATATATATATATATACTATATATGCATAGTCTTTATTTCAGCATACAGTATGCAATTGGACAAATTAGCATACTCTTAAGTGAAGTTGTCTAACCCATAGACTTTACCAGCTGCTCGGTTTCTGGGTCTGTATGTTTTTATGGCTTTTTCAATTTCATCATTGGTAGGTGAAATGCATGCTCTATGGTAGGGATCTCAAACCACCAGCCCGAGAGAGCTTATACAGCCCATCACTTGTTTACAGTTTTCTTGCCCAATTTTCTACCAGATACTCTGGCTGGTTACTTAACAAAAAATCCGCTCAGGCTGATGCTTACAAGGTTAAATAAAAGCAAGAAAAGTCACAAGAGGCCGTGCTTTACAGCAATTTAATCATGAGTAAGAGTAATTAGGAAAAATGCAAAGTGGAGTGCCTAAAACCTTCTTACCCATGATAAAATCACTGTAACACACCACCTCATGTGTCTTATTGTTATAATAAAACAACATAAAATATTATAAAATAAACAACTGTTCAGTAAATAATTTGAAATGATTTGACTTCAATTCAAAGCCTGAGATATTATGGAGGAGTTGTTTAGCCTGTTAGCTGATCAGCCTGTTTCTAGTTAAGAAAATAAGACGCCAGCCCCTCAGTTTAAACAATACCGAGTTCTTACTTCATCAGTACGCTCAGTGGTCCGTGCGAGCAGCATTACAGTCAAAGATTATTTTATGAACAGCCCTGTGGTTTATAGTGACTTGCCGTAGTAATACAGAATTTAATTGTTGTGAGGTGTTCACTGGTGTGTGTATTTCAACTATAACTTAATTCGGCTCAGCGGATCATATTTTAGACCGGAACTCTCCATTGTATAGGCAAAAATAGAGCACTGCTTGAGAGTGGAACCATTCGAACGAAAATATGGTGCAGCATGAGTCCAGCACACTGTAATTTAGTTATAACTGACTTAGCTATTATTCTAATTTAGACCAACAGTTAAATCTGATCTGTGGATTCATCCATGAAAGAAATGGAATCATCAAATTAATCAGATTAACCACCCTCATTTACATTTCACTCGCAATGACGTCACTCACGTGGTGTTTCTGTCAGAAATGAAAACGTTTTATAGTTTTACTTTTGTAATGTGCTTTGTTTATTGCACATGCAATAGTTGTTTTGTTGTTCATTGGTTGAGTGGATTTGAAAGTGATGGCTTTAAATTAAATACAGTTGTACTCAAATGCAAGAGGGGCGAGTTAGCAGCACGTTAATCGTTGGAGGTTCTACTCTGGCTGTGGTTTTGGGTCAGTTGCTGAAGCACCATCCACACCTGCTCTACGTTTCATACTGAAGTTGTACTGATGTTTTTATACATACAAGTGACGTTTTGTTTGGTTTAATATTTGATCATTAAAATGACAGATGGAGGGTCTGTGTTTTTTAAGAGTTATGAATTTCTTACAGAGGTTATTTGATCCTCATCCTAATGCTGTAGAATGGTTTTTAAAAAGGTCTAGGATCAACCTGCGCATAGTTAGATGGATCAAATGAAACAAGGAACATAAACTGAGAAATGCTTGAATGTGTTTAGCCATTCTTGCAAGGTTATTGCCCAGCAAAGAAAGCAAAGCTGTTTTACAGCATTTATTTAATCACCCAAGATAAACACATGTGACCGCTGCTGGAACGTGGGGGGAGATAACTGAAGTGTAAGAAAAATATTTGATTAGGTTTTTATTTCCTTTCTTAATTATGCCAGTTTCCTGTTTTGTCTACAGACAAGCGCGCTGCTCTACATTCACAAAGCCATCAATAACATTTAAAATATTCAAAATATCAATAGATTTAAAAACAAAACCAAACAAACATTTTACTGTGTTTATTTTTATTTGTATTGATTCTGTGTTATACCGTGTTTGGCTGGCAAAAATAGACTCACACCAAGACAAACAAACAATAAATAGTTGATCAGGCTGCCTAAAACTTTTGCACAGTACTGTTTATATTTCATACTTTATATAAAATGAAATATAGCTTTGGAAATTATGTAATTCATTCCAAGTAACTCCCCTCTCCACTGAACTGAGCGTGAATGCATAACACCCACTGCATTGAACAGAACTTGAATGCAGTGTACAGTCCTGGCATGCTGTACATAACTGTTTGCTGCAAGGTCTAACATATGAAAAATGTTTTCCTGTTTTCCTGTCCTTTGGTTTTTTTTCCTGTTTTTGAGTGTCCTTAGTGTTTTGCTGTATGTTGCTGTATCTTTGAATGTCTCTGCTTTAGACATACAACAAATGTGTCTGTTATCAGAAAGTTAAACAACACAAACTCACCTTCTGTCCTTGACAGGACTGATTTTAAGCAAGGTCAAATCAGCAGCAAGAAGGTAGCTACATTTCATCCAGCTTTCTGCTAAAGCAGAAAATCCAGCCCCTCCTAGAGTTCTTTTCATTAATCCTGGGGTTCATATTATACCTATTTTAAGAGCGACATAACACCTTCGTCACGGAAATCGGACACCCTGCTGCCAGGGTGTCACTCTACGGGGTCTTATAAGACCTCCTCATTAGCAGTGGAGGTGAGAGATGAGGGAGACCCCAACATCAGGACGACGTGGGTGAGTAGAGAGAGTCACTTCAGCTACTTCCAGAATAACAAAGATGGATAAATGGAAAATCATTGTCAGTTAGCTGTCATACTCAAAGAATTGGACAAATTTATTTTTACAATATTGCTTTTAACACCAAAGGTGTTTCACTCCCTTAGTTCTTTTTATTTAACTTTTTAAATACTTTAACTTTAACTCTACTAACTGTGTTTGTTAGGACATAAATATTTCCCTCAGCTCCTGTTTTCAAATGGTGATTCCATTGATTTTTCAAAACTTCTGTAATCCTTGAGATTGTTGTTTGAGTGATCTGCTGTGAAATGCTGCATTTTTGAGAAATTTACAGACTCTGATGCCATTATAGTGGTGGTGATGGGGACTAGGGGTCATGATGTCTACAACACTTTCATAGCCATTTTATTTACTGTCCAAAATGACCAGTGAACCTATATGTGTCTTTTGAGCTTTCATATGTAATGTCGATGGTAAAATAATGCAAAACCCTAGAAAAATAACTTTTCTTTGAGGACTGTTTTGCCCTGTACCCTCTACCATGCTTGAATAAAAAAATAAGTTTTAGTCCAAAATCTAAAAATTATCATAAAACATTGTATCAGGCATCAGACAACATATTCAGAACCATTCTGTAACTTCATAACTTCATGTGACCTGAGTTTTTAGGGGCATTAAACGATTTAGATGTCTGGTTCCTATCACCACCACTGTGAACAATTCCTAATCTGTAACTGTCTCTAGAACAGAGCATTTCAGCTCAAACCACTCCGAACGACTTTGTTTACATCCAAATGGCAACCTAATGTATGACCATATATGCATATATATCATAAGGGGTTAAGCATATATTACCAGACATATGGTCATATTTGTAGTGTACATATATGTAAGTATCAAACATTGGACACATACACATAATATATGGATCACAGATCTGATAGGTGGGTGAATACATGCATAAAGAATGGATCATTCATATACTGTATGTCCAATATATGTCCGATACAAATACCGAAAGATTTTATAAAGCAATAAATCAAAATGAAATAAAAAGACTTATATAACATGAGGCTGGCATATATGAGTAATATATTTAGTCCATATAATAATGATGTCTATGATTTGTTTTTAAATAGGCGTGTTGCGCATATATCTTTGTATAAGTTGATGTATGGGTGAAATATATGTCCCATATTTGAAAATGGCCAATTTTAAATAAGTTGTCTTATATGTCACATATGTATATGTCAACATACAACAGATTCTAAGTTGGATATAAGAGACGCTCATACATGCTAATATATTGCTGCTGTCAGAAGAAAACCTCGTAAAAAAAAAGAGTTTTGTCATTTTTTTAGTTTTTGACATAATTCGAAAATACCTGTTGTTCTTTACATTGTGTGCAAATTCCATGAAGAATGGACCAAAAGAAACGGCCCAAAATGCCTTGAAAAAATGTCTGGTTCCATTGACTTACATTAAAAGTGAAGTATGTTTTTTCCTTCTCCTGTAAAGTCACCATTTTGGACATATGAGGTTTTCTTCTGACAACAGCGACATATTATATATTTTAAAACCATATATTGTCAGATTATGCCATTATATATGTCAGATTTCCGTATGGGAAACCGTTTAATTCTGCAGAATTTTTAAAAAATTGACCTGAAGAGACATACTCCCTTTTTTCTTTTCTGTTGATTACTTTGCTATTGCTACCACCTTTTACTACCGAGCCCCTTTATTTTACACCAAAAAAAGGACTTTTAAAAGAAAAGAATAGCTAAACAAATTTAGTCCTATGCTGACAGATGCTGGGTGTAGCCCATTCAGAGGTTCTGCAGTTCTGCAAGAGACTATGTACCATTTAACTAAATTATAATAACTAAATAAAACTCGTACCAAAGTTGTTTTTGACACCTACTTTTACTTCTACTTCAGTCATCATATGAGTAAAGTCAGACTTTTACCTGAGGATGGTTTTAGTTTGCTCCACTCACCTCCACAACTCTGAGGTAAACTGTGCTAAGCTAACGCGATGCGTCGGTGGGCGTGGCCTCGCTTTTGGCTCTGCTGTACTTCTCGGGGGTGTTGATAATGATCACGGTGATGATGATGGTGGTGGTGGTGAAGCCTCGTTGCCCCTGTAATAAATCCCCAGGCGCGAACTGCTCGGCACAATGAGCTGTTCCTCCTGCCTCGCACACGCACCTGCTGCTCTCTCACCGCTTGCTGCTCATCTGTAAGTCCAACTTGCATATTAGTGCTATATTTTATCCCGCATCCTTCAGCGTAGGCACTAAAGGCTGTTATAAGCTCTGTCTTTTCTTCTTTTGGTGTTTGGTCTAAAATAACGTGCTACAGTTTAAAATGTAAGCAGCAGAGAAACCTGCCCAGCGTTTTTCTAACCGTTAGTGTTTCTGTTGGTTCCTGAAGGTTTTGTAATGTGTTTTGGCTTCTTTAATAAATTGGAACCACAATGTAAAGGATCCAAAAGGCTTAACAGGTGACCAGTGGCTAATTCTAAATGCATTTAATAGGTGTTCTACAGGAAACTAGTGGAAACCATTGGGCCAATTGCTATTAGAAAGCAAACTTTTAGGTTTTAACTCTAATAGTTTCTAATGGTCCCTTTTCAGCAAAGGTATTAGACCAAGAAAGGTGACATAGACATTAGACTGTCTGTTTAGTCTGACCAGCAGCTTTTTGCATTGACTAATCTGCTGTACAGGAGGTCACTGAAGGGTCAGTCTAATATAACTATGCTTTTGTGGTCTTTAATTGAGCCTGTAGGTCTCTGGCTGTTAAACTGATCACATTTTAAAGGCTACTCTTTCATAAACTGACTAAAAAGAACAGAAACGACTGGCATTTAACTAGCATTCCTCACAGAAATGTCTCCGTCATTTACACTGCCCAGGTCAAGAATGCCGCATTCCCCACTGAAAGTACATTGGCAGTATTTGTGTATTCCTCTTATATATAACAGTCTCTGTGTGGTCGTTTTGGGTAAAGGGGGTGTGAGTTATCTACAGGACCATACTTTTCTTCTCAGTTAACCAGGCTAGTTGCGGTCTCTGCTGAGCCCATCTGGCGAGACTGTGTTGTCTTATCCTTCTGATTTCATATACCTTATCACTTCGACAAATATTTGTGATGGAGACTGTGACTCTTGTGCAGGCTCCAAGGATTTTGAGTGTGGTTATGTAAGGCGCAAAAACAAACCAGACAGGATTTTGTAGGAACATGATTTTATCTGTCTTGACAAAGGTAAGTAAACAATGTCGAAATGGACATTAAAAGAAAATACACATGAATGGACAATTATAGAGATAGCTGGGCAGACTATGAGCTCACAAGGTTGGCACACTTTGGCACATTTATCCTGTGAAATACCATGAAGTAGACACAAGAGGTTATTTGTCGATGCTTTATTTAATATTTCAAGTTTTATGACAAGATGTTGTTACGTGAAAACTCCTGTCTGGAAGATATATATCAAAATGTGTAATATATGTCAAAAATATACATCACAAAACTCAGATTTTGAGAGATGTATGTAAATATATTTCCTCTGCACACAGGATAACACACTGTAATTATCTACTTGATGAAGATTTGATCACCACTTTTCAAATACGAGGCTTTCTGGATGTTTATTATAACTTTATTCCTTATTTAGCTTTGTCCAACATTCTGGACACATTCCTTTTTACAGTTTCCCACTGATTATTTGAAACCTATGAAGTTGTAAAGTTTTAGTTGTGTATTAGGATAATATTTTACAAGTATCTGCAACCAAATTGGTTTTATATTGTTTTGAACGATTCTGTAAGTGGGTTATCAATGTCTGTAGAGTCTACAGAGGATGACGAGATTGAATTAGTAATACATAACTAGAAAACTAGCTATATAGCAACTTTTGGCTGAGAGATGTCTTTATTTTGCTCTGAAGGTGCCTACCATCGTGCAGCTGTGAGAGCATCATGGTGGCTTTTAAAGGCATTTGGACGAAGCCCTTCTGGCGTGCTGTTTCTGGTGAATTCTTAGCCACGCTGATCTTTGTTCTTCTGAGCCTGGGCTCCACCATCAACTGGGCGTCAGGTACAGAAAACCCACCTCCTGCGGATCTGGTGCTCATCTCCCTGTGTTTCGGCCTGAGCATCGCCACCATGGTGCAGTGCTTCAGTCACATCAGCGGAGGCCACATCAACCCAGCTGTCACCGCTGCCATGGTGGTCACCCAGAAGTTGAGTCTTGCTAAAGGCCTGTTCTACATAGCCGCTCAATGTCTGGGAGCCATCGTAGGGGCAGGAGTTCTGTTCCTGGTGACTCCAAGCGCTGTTAGAGGCGGGCTGGGCATCACGGCGGTAAGATGCTTTGTTAGCATGTTTTGTATGCATTTGGATGAAATTATTGATGATTACATCATAACTATTGACCCTATGGTTTAAGGTAGGATAGGGCAAAAGAAATTACACCACATTACTTTTCTGATCGTATCATAGATACCGTCAGTATGCAAAGAACCCTGAACAACTATAACTAGATTTAATACAGTACAATGTGTGAGACCCTGAATAAAATCATTGTGAAACAATATTCAATTAAACAGGACTATTTATGGGTCTCTTTGTAATAAAACATGAAAATCAGTGCTCTTTAAATATTGACAATGTCCATAATATGCTAAAAGCATATTTTGACCTAATTTATCATGGTACTGATAAAAATTGTCATTTTGCCCACCCTTACCATAGCTGTATCATTCCTACAGCCACTGTTTGCTAAGTAAAATTAATATTTTGGTGTTGTTGGAACAAAACTTTGTGTCTCCAAAATGATAACTTTACAGGAGAAGGAAAAAACATACTTTACTTTTAATATAAGTCAATGGAACCAGACGTATTTCCAGGTCATATTGGGCCATTTCTTTTGGTCAGTTCATCATGAAATTTGCACTCAATGTAAAGGAAAACTGGCATTTTGAAATTATGTCAAAAACTGAAAAATGACAAAAATGGAGATAAAAGGTTTTGTTCCGACAGCAGTGATATACTACTTTTTTGCCAAAAGGCTTTGCCAGTATTCAAATTTATTTGTCTAAAAGCAGTAGAACACTTGCCTTTGGCTACAACCAAATCACAGCCTTGACGTTATTTGCGATAATACACTCCACATCATGTTCTGTTGCTTAAGTAAATCAAACCATACAGCTTTGTTTTGAGGTAAGTCAGTGTTAGTGATTTCAGTGTATTGATTCGAGTAGTTTGTTACATTGATAGAATAATATAAACAGAGATAACCTTGTAAACTCAATTATGGTTTCTTTTGAGCAGGTTAATCCCCGTATCTCAGTGGGCCACGCTCTGGTTGTGGAGCTTCTGATCACATTTGAGCTGATCTTCACTATCTTTGCCACCTGTGACCCCAAACGCAGCGACCTCAAAGGATCAGCTGGCCTTGCAATCGGCATTGCTGTAGTCATCGGGCATCTGTTTGCGGTTAGTGAACCTAACGTGTTAGAACAGTAGTTCCCAGTTCCAGCCGTAGGTCCCCATGCACTGCTGTGTTTTCCCTGCTCTAGCACACCTGATCCATCTCATCAGCTAATTATACAGCCCTTCATGGTTTGTTAGATCAGGGAAATGAAAATCCGCAGCATATAGAGGCCCTGAGATTGAGAATGGGGGGCACCCAGCTCCTATAGATCAACCCTCCAGTAGAATTTGGTTCTTAGCCTAAACCAACACATCTTAGCAGAAAAGTTTGATGCTTTTGAGGCCCCTTTATTACCTGGTGCTCATAAGTGTGTTATATTGGGATTGGAACTAATCTCTGAAGGATATATGAGAAGGGTCCCCCCTGTTATAGAGTACGACACCTGAAAAATGAGTCAATAAACCAGTGCAAGCAAATAAAGTAACTTGCTTTACTTTGAAAAATTACTATTCAGGAAATTATTTAGACAGAAATCTTTGAAAACAATTTCTCACTGGGAGGTCTCCCTGTTACCTAAGCAGCTGGCACAGCCATAGCAACTGTCTCCCAAAGTAAATCCTCAAGTGAATTTGCTCAGAGCCATGCCTAGATACAGCAATATTAAACACACCTGACTGTTTTCTTTTTCCTTTTTTTCCTCGCCTTTTCTTTATTATGGTAATACATTCTTTGATAAATGTGCACAGGCATTTTTTTGAGTAAACATATAACATAACCTTAAAACTCCTTCCCGATTGTGGTGCAGCTAAAATGTAGAGACTCTGGTTGTAAGAAAGACTAACTGCAAGCCTAAACCCAGAGTTTCAATATCATGCTGTACGATACAGTTCAGACATTAGGCTTTTAGAGGCACTGTCTGCTGGGGATGTAGTTAGCTTGCTCATTTGATTTTGTAAATGAGATCATTTAAATCCACAGCTTCATCAGGGATTCTAGAACAACAAAGTTGCAGCCCTGGCACTGATAAAGAGGCATTACGTTTGTATTCCCATTTGAAAAGTCGTAAGCCAGGCTCTAAAGGCCTTGGAATATATATCTGAATGGTCTAAATAGTTTTACCTCATAATTGGGTATGTTAGGTAAGTGTGGAAAGTGCATCAGTGCATATTTCATAAAGCCTTTGCTGCTTTCTTTCAGGAGTTTGAGCCTCAGTGGTCACTATTAGAGACGTTCCTTTCCGTTACCAACGGTGGTATTGAAACTTTGAGGATCAGCCAATATCAATTGCAATCAGATATTTCTTCTCCAGAAATTACTTAGCTTTAAAATGAGCTATTTTTAATTGACACATTTCATTTCATTGATCATCTAAAAATAGTCTAGCATACTGAAACTAATCAATCACACTCTTAAACCCACAGGAAGAACTACACAGCCAAAAACATCATATAACACAGTGTGACTGAGTGCTGTTTCAGGATAGATTTTACAGGACTAGATCAAATTTAGCCCTCTTTTCTGTTCAATATCCGAAGCAGCATTTTCTGCTGATATGAGCCCAATACTGATAACTGGTATCAGATCAGCACCATCTCTAGGCTACTGTTCAAAATTTGGGATCACTATTATTACTGATGCATAGATACCTTTTTTCAGACCAAGTACAAGTTTTAGTGCTTGCAGATACTGATTCTGATTCCATAATGAGTAACCTACTAAGAATTAAGTAGTTGTTAGTGTAAATGAGCGCAGTGTACCTTAACAGTGAAACCTTTAAAATGTAGCTAACATTAGTTGCCTTGGTTCGAGTAGCATTGCAGGGGAGAAGAGTGGGTTTTGTTGCACATCAGAAAAGCCCTTCTATACAGCTGCAAGTAAAGTACATTTCATAGTTTTGATCCCGCTCCTCATCTCTTTACAGCACCTGTCTCTGTAGCACACTGACATCAGGAATCACATGCGAGGCTAATTCGTGGAGCTCATGTTTCGAGTTTTACGTGTTGCTGGAGTCTTTTGTTTGGCTGGATGAGCTGTAGTTGAATGTCTTCTAAAGCGAGACACACACTGTGCGGTTTTAGAAATGTTGTTTTTCGTGACTAACAATGTATGTTTAAATTGTGTACAGACAAAGCCTACGACGTTTTTGCTCACACTGCACACAAACGTTCGCTCTGATTTGCATGCTATGTGAAACACAGCCTCTACAGACAGCTCTGTCTATGGACAATGATCAGTAAGACTGTTTCATTCTAAACACCACTCTGTGGACCGAGTACTGAGCAAAAATGCTGAGGAACTGAGCTACAGCAGCTTCGCTAACTTGTAACACGCTGTGCACTGAAATGAAAAACAGACTGTGATGTACACAGTAGGAAAATACAGTCTTTCCACAGCATATTTTTCAAAAACAAATTTAAAAATTGCCATATTAGCATGTATATCTTGCAGTTCTATTTAGTCAAAATAAAGTCGGTACTTTGGTACCTCAAATGTCGACTTTTTTGTCTATGTTTTGGTAGCCTCTGTCTCCATCTGTGTTGGAGAAGTGGTTGTGATTGTGTTTGTGAGTGTTTAAAAACGGCCTGAGAGGAATGTGCCTAGGCAGGATGTTTAAAGTGACCAGCAACTCGTTTGTTCATTAATGTGGCAGCGTACCAGGTGTATTGGGCATATCAGGTGGTATCAGTGCTTTTTTACCAGTACAAATATGAGTAAATTAGTGCGATTAGTAAATTAGTCCAATACCTGATACCAGCATTGGCATCAATGCATTGCCACTTGTCATATTAATAACCGTTATTCAGTTTGATGGTTTATTTACAATTTAAAGAATTAAGAGGGACAACAAAAATTTCACATAGTAAAAATAAACAGTAAATGTTATTAAACAATCAAGTCCCAGAGGAGCAGTTGTGTATTTGTAGATATTCATGACCTAATGTTTTGAAACAGAACAATAAAATAAAAAGCCTGAAGTCAAGACAGGATGAAAAAATCTAAATAATTACAAGGGATTATAATGAAATTATGTCCCCTAACTAAAGATACTGAAGGTGTACCCTTGAGGGTACCAGCCCAGTGACAGTTTAGTACCTTTGTACTAGTGTAGCTGAGTGTAGCAACATATTAGAATAGCAACATATTAGAATAATTTTATGCATGTATTTGCAAAAAAAATGTTTTTATTCCACACTTTTGAATCGTAATTCCAAACATTTGAACAGTAGTGTCCAAAATAGTAGTGTCTAAAACAACAGTGTCCAAAATACTAAGTATCTGCTCTGTCCAAATAACTATCCACAAGATTAAAGTTGGGCTGTACATTATATTGTTTGTTGTTATCTTGTTCTCTTAATATTGGCCTTTGTGATATTGGTATCGCTGAAAGCTATAATATGTAAATTTAAACAAATTACAAGTAGTGTTATCAGATCAGCTCAATCTTTGATGCCCCAGAAGAGTCCCTTGGGGGTGTTTTGATGAATTGAGACATTCATGTGGTCCATAGACAATTTTAGTCAAAATAGCACAGGCTCATCAGTTGTACGTATTGTGTAGCCCTACACAATGTACTCTGGCAACCTTTCCACAGCTTGATTGATCATTTTATCTTATTTTTCGAATATATTTATTGCAAAAATCTAAAATGTCACAATATTTTTCTGATATTGTTCAATCCCATGTAAAAGCCAAAGATATGCCAGTGATGTGCTTCATGAAGCACCATATTTTCTGAAGTTTTGTACTCTTGCAGATCCCTTACACTGGAGCCAGCATGAATCCAGCTCGCTCTTTTGGACCTGCAGTTGTCACATGGAGCTGGGAGAGCCACTGGGTAAGAACATCATTCGTCTTATGTAAAAAGAAGAAAAGCATGTCATAGCTCAGCTTGCACTGGAGTTCATCTGTGCTAAGGCTGAACCCACCTGCTGCACCAGAGGTTAGCCATGAGGCTAATTATGTCATCAATGCAGAGACGCTATTACAAACTGTAATTCAAGAAGGTCACATATCCATGTCCTCCTGCCAGGAACAAATACACACCTGATCTCGTGCTCCTCAAGGGCATTTCTTCTCCAAAAGGATAAAGGTTGATACTATGTTTGCAGAGCAATCAATATGTCAATAATGCCACTGGGTTTATATGACAGATGAAATGTTGACAGGGTCCAAGTGCCCATAGTGAGAGTCTTCTTCACTTTAGCCTCTGCAGGGCCACAGAACTGAGGTACAGTGGGACCATATATTGTATTTACCGGTATAGCTGTATTGGTGGTATATATTGTTTACACTCGTATACTCGTATTGGTGGTGAATATGCGGTGTATATCATCTTTAAAGGTATACTTGTATTTGCGATATATAGCACCTTTACCAGTATACTGGTATTGGCAGTATATATCATCCATACCGATATACCTGATATCATTTATACCAGCATACCTGTATTGGTGCTACATATCATCTATACCAATATACCTGTGTTGGTGATGTATCATCTTTACTGGTATACCTGTACTGGGGGTTAATATCTCGTCTATACCAGTGTACTTGTATAGGCTCTATTCATCATCTGTACTGGTATAGCTGTATTGGCACTATATTTTGTCTATACAGGTTTACTTGTATTGGTGGCATGTATCATCTTTACCGGTATACCTGTATTGGTGCTATCTATGTGGTATATATATCGTCTTTAAAGATATACTTGTATTGGTGATATATATCATCTTTACCGGTGTACTTGTATTGGTGGTATATATCGTCTATAGCTATATACGTGTGTTAGTGATATATCATCTATACCGGTATACCTGTATTGGTGCTATGTCTCATCTATATCGGTGAACCTGTATAGGCACTATTTATCGTCTACACCGGTATAGCTATATATATCACCTATACCGGTATAGTGCTACAACTTTTCTATACTGTTGTACCTGTATAGGCGCTGTCATCTATGCCAGTATAGCTGCATTGGTGCTATGTTTTGTGATATATATCATCTATACCGGTATACCTGTATTAGTACAATATATCATCACCACCAGAATACCAGTATAGGTGGTATATATCATCTATATTGGTATAACTGGATTGATGTTATATATCGCCTGTAACGGTATACCTGTAATGGTGTCTGTACTCGTATTGGTGTTATATTCTGTCTACACTGGTATTGGTGTCACGCTGTAATATAGATTTTTTTAGTTTTACCTGTACAGATAGATAATAAAAAGTCAGCTAAGAAACACTGTACATCATTTTCTGGGTGCTTCAGAAGGTTTTAAAAGAACAGTTCAAATACATAAAAACAAACAAAAAAAAAGATACTAAAAACTTTTACTATCTCATGAACATTTACAAAACTGTCCCTTTGGTGTAATTTTAAGAGTAGAAGCACAGGAAGGACAGAACACTTCCAGTGCAGAGGAAGCTTGGGTTCGTCAGCTTTATATTTAACTACAAACTAAACAAGAGGAATTAAGGAGAGCCAAAAACCGATCATTCAAGTATAAACAGTAAATCATGAGTTATCATATCTCTGACAGTAGTTGCTTTGGTCTAAAAAACAACTTTTGTGTATTTGAAATTTTCATCTGAAAATTGGCTAGTTGTCCCTCCCCCGTTACACCTGGTTCAACTCATCAAGCAGTGATAATTAGATGATGATTAACTAAAGCTGTTGTGGAGTGGAGTGAACACTTAACAGTGCAGTACTGTGGTCTTTTAGGAATTTAACTGCGCGTTCCTGCACCAGGTCATGACCCGTAGGCCTAGGGTCTGCCATTTGAGGTCTTACATAATCCTGAAGTCTTGAATATGAAACAGACAACTGGACTCGCTCTGTTCCAAAGTTCCAAGTGAAGCGCCAAGATAACTGGATCGCAAAAAAGACATTATGTATTTTACAGTCATCTGACACAAGACTCCACCTACACCTGGTACAACAAACAGCAAGTTTGTTTCTTATACAAACATGCAATTTAGCTGATTGGAGACCAATTTAAAAGAAAGAAAAAAAGGATTTTGTGTTTGCATAGCTATATTTAGGATAGGTGTCACATTAGCTGAAGTGTATCTTCTCAGAGGCAGATGTTGGCAGTGTTGCTGGGTTTCCAGCCCTGCTACACGATCTCATGTCCTGCTGACAGCTTCTGCTTAGGCTTGAAGAATCCATTCTTAGAATAGCATCAGTTTTTATGTCCACCATTCAAAACAGCAGGATTCTGTCTCCACCACATAACTTATCACAATACCATCACCAGGGTCACATCAAATCCTATAGGGAATGTACAAGCATGCTGTCACCGTTTCCCTGTCCTGGCTCTGCCCTCTCCAATCTCCTCCCTTGTCATGTCTCTGATTTACCTTGTCTCATCCCTAGTCTCTTCTCTAATCATTAGAGTTTCCACCTGTGGCTTGTGTATATCCAAACCAGGGGCCTGCAGTCTTATCCACAAAGGGCCAGCGTGGCTGCAAGTTTTCTCTTCAGTTAAGCAGAAGCACACCTGATTCCACATGTTCAGTCAATTCAACTCAATTTTCAAACATTTGACTAGTTGTGTGAGGTGTCCTCCTGCTTGGTTACCCCTCATGTTTCCTTCTTCTTTATCATATGTTGTATGTATCATTATGTGTGTGTTCACTACATTCACTTCTGGCTGAACAATTAATGAATCTAGCATTTTTCAACCTAATCTCTATGCTGCATCTGTATCATTAGGTCAGTTTCACTGGACAGTTTATTTTGACACATTTCCATGCATACTTATAATAGATCCCAGTGGGCAGTTGTTGAATTTTATCAGTGAATGTTCATGAGAAACACATATGATTGTAAAAACTTTGATTCCTCATATATTTTTTTTTTTAATTAAGCTATAAATCTGTATAAAACATCATTTCAGAGATATGTATAGTTTTCCAGAGGGAAGAATTTGTGGCAGTAGAGCATTGTGTTTTTTTTAAAGGCTCTGCCTCATCACACAAATACTAGAAAACCTGAGAGAGAGCACAAGTAACCAGAATTGCTTTTTTACTATGTCGCTGCCGTTACAGCATATCTCTTTCTCATCGTACGACAGTGTTACAGTGTTAGTTTCAAATTCACATTATGTAGTCATGTATTTCTAACATTTGTTCATACAATTCAGTATATAAGTGTGGTCAGGTAGAGTAGGTTTAGACACATTATTTTTTAGTAGGGTGGCACTACTTGGAAAATTAAAATAAAACAGCAGTTAATAAGGTTATTCTGTGCTTATACTAGGCCTACATCATTTTTATTATTAACTGATTAATCACATCTTTATATAAAGAACTGGAGCTAATCTTCTGTTTTTTGATAAAGTTTGGTGAAAAATATTGTTTGTTTTTTTGTGTCTGTTCAAAAATTATTGTACTATATTGAGGTAGAAATTTATTTAAGTGCCTTTAACTGTGTTTCCATAATGCAGGACTCCAGTTTCTTTAAGCAAAATGAACAGCATTCGACCAGCATTCATTTGTTTGCTCGGCAAAGTAGCTTATCAAGGCAGTGACAAGCTGATTATTGAGTGATAGCGTCATTCAACTCCAGTAACATGTAGGTAATTGCCCTGACGGCAGATTTTCACAGTAAAGTGTGACCAGCCTTGTGACTGGAAGCCTTGTGACTGGTTTGATCCCTTGAGCCGACAGGACATGACTGAAGTGCCCTTGAGCAAGACACCTAACCCCCAACTGCTCCCTGGGTGCTGTGGATAGGGCACTCTGGGCAAGTGTGCTCACTGCCCTCTAGTGTGTGTGTGTTCACTAGTGTGTATGTGGTGTTTCACTGCACAGATGGGTTAAATGCGGAGGTGAAATTTCCCCGTTATGGGGCTAATAACTTACCAACTAATGCAAGTCTTCCCTTCCCTCTAGGTGTATTGGGTGGGGCCCATTTTGGGTGGGATCCTGGCAGCTGCACTATACCAGTACCTGTATTGCCCAGACCCTGAGCTTAAGAGACGCTGCAAGGAAATGTTCATCAAAGATGCTTCTGGAAAGTACAAAGAGGTGGAGTGCCCCAGCAACCATCACATTGGAGAAGCAGACGACATTGTGATCAAGCCTGGTTCCTCCTCTGATACTGAGAAAGATGAAAAGAAAGAATCTTTCCAGGATTCGTCTGGGGACGGCCTGTCCTCCGTATGACTTCTGCGCAAACTGGAGACGGAGACAAATGTTTAAGGCCTTCACAACAGGCCTTCACCATCAGTAGCCCAAGCCTGCTGCAAGGGAAGGATTACTTTCCCAGAAGTGTATATGAATATGGAAAATATGGAAAATGCTAATGTGGTTAACAACGGAGAAGATTGGTTAGCATGCTAGCATGCTGAAATGGTCTTACTAGCTTTCTATTCATAATTAGCCGCATTAGCACTTTTCAGGAAAGTTTTCTTGTAAGGCCCAAACCTCCAGCCTCGTCTCAGGGAGAAGAGTTTCTTTCAGGGCATCCAAAAAAGTGTATTTCAGCTGATGGATGCGCTCTCTGTTTTATGTTCACCACAGCCATATCCGAATGGAATTACTCCTTTCGCTTGACTTCCTTTTACATGAACAAATGCACAGCCGAAGCCATTCTCACATTTGTCGTCCAGTGATGTGAAAAACTATGTGAAATGAAGATCAACGAACAACCCAGGCAGCCACCATTACCCTGACATAAATGGATTAGTGTCCTGTGTTATATATGAAGATGTTATGACATCAGAGATTCTACGATCATTAAGAAAATTACTGAACTCTTGTTTTGATGGATTGAGGCTGGGATTAAAGACGGTCTAAAGCAGGTCGGTAGGGCCCTCACCATCTCCACTCAAAGCAAAGGCTGTTTTACCTTTAGGCCTTTAGATTTTTCAGTCATGCCAAGCTTTTAATTATGTTCTTTTGTGGTTATTTTAGGTTAATGTAATTCTTTTAATAATCTCAATCTTCACTTTGTTTTAATTTTTTTCGTTGCTTATTTACACCTTTGAATCTTTTCGTACAACTAGTTGTCATAAGCAGTTGAGAGTTTTAAAAAAAGCGAATGCAACAACAAAATCTGGAATGTTCCTTGATAATCACTGGCCCAAGCCCTTTACAGGAATTGAGGGAATATTGTATTTTACCCCAGAATTGCACTGTGGCTAACTGCAAATGGAATCTTGATCAAATCACTAACAGGAACCCATTTATTCATTTTTAGGAAAGTTAGCATTTTTGAATGAAGTATTCCCTTAATACCCAAGAGTCTAACCTACCAATTTGCAAGACTCTTACACTGGGGTGACAAATAGAAAACAGGGTGTTAGGACAACATGAGCTGCCAGAACAGCTGGGTCATTCTACAGAAACATCCATTTTTGTGTCCCCAGCCTTTATAGATATATTACATTTCAAAAACATGTTAGGGTTACAATTTATTTATATTTTAAAATAAAACAATGTTATTTTAATAATCACACCTTCTTGAGCCTCAATTTAGCAATATTGATTTTTAAATCAATCATATAGAATTCCAAGCACTACAGAAGTGCTCGTCCTCACAGTCATGTATTAAGGTTCCGTGCCATATTTTGAAGAAAAAAACGTTTTTCTGCAATTTTAACTACAATAATCTATACATGACTATGAAATATATACATTAAATGACATAAAGAAAATAAATGCCAAATAAATATTATAAAATATATAATGAAAGTTGTTGTCCCCAGGAGTCGTGTCACTGGTGTTACTGCGTAACAGAAAATCTCTTATTTTGAAATAAAAATTACACTGATGACATCACGACTTCTTTTTACCTATTTTCTGAAGATCTATGAAGAAAAGCACATAGTGAGTCCACTGTGTCTTTCAGTTATCAGAAATTTCCTCATTTAGCTCATGATTTCATATGAACCCTTTAGTTGATGTCACTGGTGTGACCGACTTTATTCTTAGGTAATTGTGAAAAAATAGAATACATACTTTACATATTTTAGTGGATATTCCATGATTTACAACATGTGGTTTGATGCTCTGGAGCAGCCATTTTGTAAAATGCATTTTTCATTAAAAAAGTCACTCGTGTTACCTTTCTTATGTGTAACACCGATGATGATTAGTAGCACCAGTGACTCCTATGGATAGATAAAAAAGTGGATGTTTCTGTAGAATGACCTAGCTACAGTGCACCTTGGCATAGACTCTACAAGTCTCTGGAACTTGACTGGAGGGATAGAACAGGTTATCCAAAAGATATTCCCTCAACTGTTGTTTTGATTATGGTGGTGGAGAGCGCTGTCTAACAGGTTGATCCAAAAATCTCCCGTAGGTGTTCAACTGGGTTGAGATCTGGTGACTGTGAAGGCCACAGGATATGATTTACATCAATTTCATACTCATCAAACCATTCGGTGACCCCTTGTATCTTGTAGATAGAGCGTTATGACCCTTCAAGAGACCACTTCCATGAGAATAGACATATATAGTTACATAGTTTGACATAGTTTCATTATAGGATGAATGAAGTCAGAATAATGTACTGATTTGCAGTGACCTCTCCCTCTAAATGGATCCAAACCATGCCAGACAAATGCCCCCAACAGTATAACAGAGCCACCTTCATTGTAGGGGTCTAGCATTCAGGTCTATACTGTTCTCTTGGTGTATGTTGTACATGCACTCGCCCACTTGCGGAGGATATGGTGAAGGATGACTCGTCTGACCAAATCACTTTCTTCCACATCTCTGTAGACCAGTGTTGAAGGTCAAATGGCTTTGTAATGAAGGATTTAAGTACAGTAACTCTACTATCCCTCTCTGTATAGTTGTGGATGGACTGTTCTTGATGACACAGTCTGATTGCATACTGAGTTGACATTCTCTGTCCCCTGAGGAACAGTTGCTCTTTTGTTTTTCCTTCTGTATCGTACTTATTCATGAGCATCATGTTGAACTGAATGTGTGTGTTTTAACCACAATTTTCAACGCTCTTTAATGATGTCTTTCTCTCGGATCTAAAGGCAGATCACTTTAGATCTGTCGAGTCACAGTTCCTGTAAAAGTAAGCCTTTGTGACTCATACTCCTGCCACCGTGCTCCAAAAATGGACCACTTTTGAGATCATTGAAGTTAACTGGGCCTGATTAGCAGTTGTATACGTCATCACTTAACTGTATTATGCAGTGCTCATGTCTGAAAGCATCTGAATATGCTTCTCAACCCATTTATATAGATTGTTTCTTTCATTTGTCAATGTGTCATTTCTCTATGTGTGGATAATTAACAGGGGTCAGTAGGGCAGTTTGAATGGGAGTGAGAGGAAAGTTACATTTTGTGTTAGAAGGTAAACAGGAATACCGAGAAATATTTGAAAATTATCAGACTAAAAACATTACTGAAAGTCTCAAATATACACAAAGTGATAGATGGTAATGAGGGTAGCAATGAAATGTAAACTAGTGTCGCCTCTAGACAGTAACACTAGCTTTCATGCATTGTTAGCAAAGATTTGACTGAATGGGCCCTTTCAATTACAAATTGCCAAAGCCACCCCAGCACTTTAGCAGAAATCATGTTGTTCCTTTTATATGGGCGCTATATTTTATCATTGTTGGTTAAAAGCTGGTCACACAATTTAGAAGGACATTGCAGTGGATTTTGAAAGTTATGTTGTGCACAAGCTGTGGGTTTACAAAGAACACAGTATAGCAGACACTGATCCAGCATCCAAATCCAGCATCCACCCATCCCAACTATGATTACTCAAGGCTGAAATCTTCGCAGTGGAGTATTCTGGGTCTCACTTTATTTGGATAGTCCACTATAGTCCCCTATAGATTATCTATAGATGTTCAAATTGTTAATAAACTATCTGTTGAAGCTCAGTTGATTCTAAACAGTGGTGGGGTTAGGATTTGGACCAGGGTCAGGGCTAGGACTAGGGTGAGGGTTGGGTTTAGGTTTTGGGTTGAGATTAAGGTTAGGGTTAGGATTACAACCAGGTTTAGAGTTAAAGAAAATTATGGCCAATTTAGTAGATATTTTGGTTGGATGTAACTTGAAAGTAAATTAAGTATCTACAAAGCATCTAAAGTGGACTATCCAAATCAAGTGTTACCGTATTCTGAGTTGCAATAGAGCATGGATAATATTTTTCAATGCGTTATCCTTAATAACTAATTTTAAAATTTATTTTGATCAACTGCAACAGCTGCTATATTTAGAGAGTTTAACAGACCACATAGGCCAGAACTTTAGCAACGTAACAATACAAAGCATTAAATAAACAATACAAAGTAATAAACATTAAACCAAAACTATTATTTACATTGCTTTGATAACCAAATAGATGGCCTACAGCCATTTCCATCACACTTCTCTCAAAATATATTTGATTTTTTCCATTTAATTTTGTTATTTTAATATATGCTGTTATTATAGCCATACTAGATTTGTGATTCTCCACCTTCTGGAATGCAGGACCAAACATAGTCAACATTTAGTGTAATACATATTTAAGTCTATGAAATATAGTGTTACTTATACTAAAATCACTATTACAGTCCTCTGTAAGCTAATGAACTGCATTTCTGGAATGATCAGGGTTTTATTATTAATATTATGATTTTTTGTTTTATTCTTATTATTGTCTTAAAATTTCCTTTAACATTATTAAAATTGTTTGTGTTTATACCAAGACAGTGTCTTTATTTTCCCCAGAATATTCTTGCTAGTCTGTAATATGAACAGAATCACTTTGTTCTTTTTGCAATTCCCTCATAAACTTCTGAATTTGTTAAATGCAGCTGAAGAATCCCATCTGGATGTAGATGAGTGTTAAGACCACCTGATGGCACTGTAGACCATTTTGCTGCTAAGCCTGGCTCGACAGGTGCTTCTTTATTGTTGTCCAGGAGAGGGCAGTGAGCGGTTCTGATTCACTTTTTTTGACATTCATTTTTATGATTTTCATTTAATCTGGTATTCAGGCATAATACCAATCATTGACTGGAAACAAATCAAACTCAGAAGGAAACCTCAAAATCTAATCTTTGAAGTGATTATAATTATAACTCATTACCTGCTGCTAATTGGAACAGGTCCAAAATTTTAGACTGCAATCAGTGTTCAGTAATGAAGACACATGACCCCCAGCAAGTCAAACTTCTCGAGAAACTTCTAGAGCTCTCAGAGAAAACCTTCCAGATTAGAGCTTTAGGCAAATATCACAGTGTTGCTGTCCAGCCAAAACGGCCTAAATTGTTTAGTATTTTCTCCACTTCTGTAAATATATGTCAAAAGCACACCAGAGGGGATTTGCTGAGTGGCATAATCAACCAGCTGCAGTTTGTTTTTATTCACTCATTGATCCTTTTAGTCAATGGACGATATGAGATGCATTTCCCAACCAAAGAAACATCTAAATGGTGTGTTAGATACCGACTGAAATGCCAAACTGACAGACAGGAGTCTAAAACTGTTAGGAGTTCAGGGACACATTTCACAGGCTGGTCCAAATTTAGTACTGAACTAAATATGCAGACTTCCAGCAGAGTTTAGTGAAAGATACACAAGCTCCAGCTTACTCACACATACAAAGTAAATGAACCCATCCTCCGTGTTCGGTTTAGATATAAAGGAGTGCTATTATATGACCTGTATATGCCATATATGACATGATTTACTCCTGATAACAAGTAGCCAAACCCCCAGAGTAAAGGCAGAGTGTTGGTAAAGCT